ACAATTTTTTTTATTTTTCAAGAAGTTAGGCATCTCTTTCAAAGACAAATTATGATATAAGCTTATACATAGATTTAAAGTCCAAACAGTGTAACTGTAATTTTACAACTGTCATGCTATTAAACATCAACAAGTGGATAAAACATCTGTTCTTCAATTTTTCACCCAAGTTGTTATGGTAACCAAAATATGTGGGATATGTTTCCTAAATTTAACTGATTATTTCAAGTAAATAAAATTATAACATATAAGCTTATTAACTACAAGTAATATTATTACTACAAACCTATATTTATCCTTTTTAAATGCTAGTAGATCACAGCCTTATATTTAACTAAGCATTTACACGTTTCATCTTGGAATTCACATGAAAAAAATAGCAAGGGTATATTTTTTTCCAATTTGGGGGCGTTATCTTGATTTAAAAACAAAACAAAACAGGAATTAATCTGTTTTCTGAGCAATACACTACAATAAAGTACTCCCAAATTAGACAACAGTACTGCTGTTAAGTTGCAAAATTAGTTGCAGACCATATCCTTCCCAACACAAGAGGGAGACGCTGATGCCCATGACCTTTCACTCATGTCCTGTCTGTGCACAAGGCCAGGTCCTCCCGGGCTCACCTTCTCTGGCCCCAGCCTGAACTACTATTTCAGCAGCCTCTCCCCTCTCCTCACACACTGCCTACCTTCTAAGGAAACTCTTCTCCCTCAAATTCATACTTTAAAGCTCTAAACCCCAATGTAATGCCTTTGGAGACAGAGCCTACAAGGAGGTAATGAAGGTTAAATGAGGTCATAAATATGGGACCCTAATCCAATGCCATTCATGCCCTCATAGTAAGGGACACCAGAGAGCCATACTTCTCCCCACCTCCCCTTTTAATTGATGGCTTTCCTATACTGCAGAATAAGCTTTAAGAAGGGTGGATTTCTGGCTATTCAGTTCATATCAGCTAGCACACTTACAACATGACACAACAGATGATTAATAAATACTTACTAAAGGCATACAATACAAACTTAAAATATCTCTTTTTTTCTGTGGTACTGGGGTTGGAAGCCAGGACCTTGCACATGCCAGGGAGGCATGGTGCCACTGAGCCACATCCCCAGCCCCAAATTTAAAGTATCTTAAACTATGGATATACTATGGCAAGAAATAATACACTTTACAATGATGTTCAAAGAATCCAATAAAAAATTTACTATCTTCAATAAGTTAAATTTAAAAAATCAAAATTTGTGTTCTCACTATAGAAGCACAGAATCTTGCTTTCTTGTTCTGTGAATCTGATCTACAATAGGCTATGTCCTTCTCCTACCAATTAAATGTGGAAAACACCTACTCTGGCTTTCCTGTCCCAGAATTTGCTCTCCACTCTCACTCTTAGGTGAACTCAACCACTCTCACTGCTTTACCCATTACCTCTTTGGAGTGACTCTGAGGTCATCATCTCTGGCCTAGATTTCTCTGTGCTCTGGTGCTGCACTGTCTTCCTCACCACCTTTATGGTGTGCATCATTTAAGCCACACCATCAGAAACATCAAAAGGACAGAAGCTTTAGGTAGATTATAACATGGTACCCATTTGAGTGGGAAAAAGATCCTAAACAAAACAGTATTTTAAAATGTTATCTTTAGCTGCACATAGATTCACATAATTCCATACTCTGCCTGAGGAATGTATTTCTTTCATCACAGAAATGAGACCTGTGGCAACAGGGAATTAAAATCTTTGAGTTATGACTGTGTATTCTAATTAACAGTGTACCCTTACACTAATTATCAGTTTCACTTCAACCACTGAATTATTCCCAATATTGTAGTAGAGTTTTATTGCTTTCAAATTGAATTTAATCACTTGGGGGGAAAATATAAGAAATTTATCTGAAGATTTCAAATTAAGTTTCTGAACAGGGAGAGTTTATTTTTAGAAGAAAAATAACTCCCATGTTTTTCTTCACCATTGGCTCCCAAATAACATTCATTTCTCCAACCATTTTTCTCCTTAGTCGCTAATCAATTATAATTTTAAAAACAAAAATTTTTCTAAAGCACATTCTTTTAATCTCTCTGAAGATTCTTAGTAATTTGATGAAACGACAACTTGAAATTTAGGAAAGGATTTATATCCAAGTTGCTTAGTAGAATTCATTATCATCCTTTAACAAACCACCTATTTTTAAAATTTCATTCAGCAAAACTAAAAAGAGGAATTTCCAACAAAAAAATCACAGGTTTACTATGGCTCTAGAGCCAAATCAGCCTTGGAGGGTCCTGGGCATCAGCACTGAGGAGGCTCTGAGAGTCAATGACACCCAGTACCATCTGTCATTGGGGAGACACACTCTGAGGTCTACACTGCCCTGGAAGGTAAGTGATTGTGACACACTAAATCAGGCAAATTTTACTGCTATTTCTTTCTCAAGTATTTTTTCTTCAAATGAAGAATATAAAGGAAATGGGTTGGGTAAGTGTTGCTATAGACTGAATGTTTGGGACCCTTCAGACTTGGATGTGATAGTGCCTGAGGGCGAGGCCTTGGAGCAGTGTTTGGATCACAACAGTGGAGCCTGCTGACCGGGACTGGAGTCCTCTAGCACCTTCTATCTTGTGAGTCTACTACACAATAGGCCTTTGCCAGTTATCAACCTGCTGGCACTTTTTTTTTTTTTTTGATACCTGGGATCAAACTCGGGATCTAGCGATTGCAAGGCAGACGGGGGGTGCAACTGAGCTAAATCCCCAGCCCCTCTGGCACTTTAATCTAAGACTTCCTAGCCTCCAAAACTGTGAGAAATAAATTTATAAGCCACTCAGTCTCTGGTAATCTGTAATAGCTGCCAACTAAGACAGCGCTTAAGAAACCAAGCTCAGCTGTCCCCGATGGTCATGGAAGGCACAAAGGATGCTCATATTATTAACAAATCCTGTCATCATTCCTTTCAAAATACATCCAGAATCTGACCAGTTCCTTCCCACTCTTCTGCTGCCATTATCACCTTATACCAGGATTAAAGAACCTCAACAGTCTCAAATCCAGCCTTGCCCTACTAACATCCCAACCCAAGTGATCACTACAGAACATGAGGCTGAGCCCTGTATGTCCATCGACAGATGAATGCATAAAGAACATGTGGTATTTAAACACAATGGAGTACTACTCTGCCATAAAGAAGGATAATCTTGAGTCATCTGCAGGAATATAGATCCACCTTCAGACCATAATGTCAAGTAAAATAAACACACAAGCTTAATTATCACATGGTTTCCCTTAAATGAGAATTCCAAAATATAAATAAAGAGCATGGTAAAAGACTGATAATAAGAAATAGGGAGATAGATCTTTTACAAATGGGAAGGAACCAAGACATGGAAGATAGAGGAAGGAGGGAGGGGAAGGGGACAGAAAAATAATTAAGGCGTGTTATGTACATGTACCAGCTCCTCATGAGGAATGTAATCATTATGTACTACAAACACATACTAATTAAAATGGACAAAAACAAAAAAGAACATGAGGCTGAATGAGTCTCTCCTCTGCTTCAAACCTCTACTGGCCCAAAGTGAAAGTCCTTACAATGCCCAATCCTTCATGGCCTAGACCCTCCATTCCTCCTTTTCTTTATTCAGCCCCACGTCTTCCTTGATACTCCATGAACACACCAAGCATCTCTCATGTCAGGTCCTCAGCACAAGGTGCTTCCCCAGCTGCAAGGCTCTGCCTCTAGGCAGGCACAGGACTCATGCACCTGCCCCCTTCCTGATCCCATCCACTCAGGCCTTCCTGGACAGCAGAACACAGAACAGTGTCTCTTCTCTGCCACCCAGCCTTTCTGATCCCTTCCACTTATCTTACTGATGCCTGACATACTGTCTCCCTGTTAACTGCATTATCTACTAGAGTGTGTGCATCGACTAACACAGACTGTTTTGTCCCTTGTCATTCATCAGCAATAGGACACAGAATGGCAGATTACCAATCAATATCAGTAAAAACTGATCAAATGAATTGATGAATCTTTTGCTTATCTCAAGCTAAATACAGATTTTTCTTTAAAAACCATATTACATTTATATTTTCTTATGATGATTATATATTTCTTATATTCAATTTTGTTTAGCTTAGCATCATTAAAATAGCAAGAACCAAACCTCTTTAGCTTTTCTATGGCCTACATCTAGCATTTTCTCTTTTAACAGGTACTCATATTTGTGGATCTGAATTTAAAGTCATACTGAAAGATACTTCTCTCATACATCTGGATCTGCTGTATGTTTCTTGAGCAAATAACCCAGTACTGATTTCTAAATTGCCAAAGAGTGTTCACCTTTCATAATTGACTGATGACAGAGTGTGCTTCCTCGCTGAGCAATGCCTGGCATGCATGTGTACTGATACGGAAACCACGGAAAGCATCTGAGTGATGTAACAGTCATTCTCAGAGGCTAGTGAAGCCTACTTGGGACATAGCTGCATCAGCTTGATCCATAAATTAGTTTTAATAAACAAGAGCCAAACACGTGTCATTCTGTCTTTACAAAGAAACAACCAGAAGCAAACTAATGTTAACAGACTTTTTTTCCCTAAGACAACAACTGAAATTAATGCCCATTTGACCCCAAATTTCTGTACAACTCATTATTTGATATTTTTAACAAAAAGCTTATATCACCAAGGAGCGATTAAATTATGTTCAATAAATTGAAAACAATAACATGCCCTGTTTTAAATTTTTATCAAGTCAGTTATAATTAAAGAATTAAATCTTCACCATTAGGAAAAGTCAACAGTACAAAGCAATTTATTTTCTAAGATATGTGGACAAGCAGGATTTTATTTTTAGCCCAATCCTTGGAAAATTGGTATTCTATAATTATAGTTATCAAAATAGCTGACATGTTACAACTCTTGTTCTATGCAAAACAAGGAACAGCATTATCAGTAAATGATACAGTAAAATAATTCCCTGCCTCATAGAATGTTAGCTCACCTCTGGTATAAGACTATCCAAGTGTTCAGCTCGGTTTCCATGAGAAGGGTGTGTAGATAACCACTCTGGCAGCTTGGGATGACCATGGAGGATGTCGGTAATCTCCATCTGCTGCCAAAACACTGAACTGGCTCTTACATCCACACAAGCCTAAAACCAAAATTGATAAAAGTACACACACCATATAGTTTTTTCTGAAAACATTTTTTTAAAAACTTAGGTCATTACATTTTTTTTTTTTTTAAGGAGGGTGTTATTGGATATAAGGAGGAGACTAGCACCTGGATTTCCAGGATGGGGTGGCCCATCACTATGTATTTTTTAAACATTTTCTATCACCATTTCGGTAAAAGTAGAATAGGTTCATTGCTTTAAAAAAAAGAAAAACTCAACCAATATAGTATAGAAAAAGAGATTACCACCCTCCTGCATCACTCCTCTCCTCATGCAGCATTCATAATAATCCCACCCCCAAAGATAACCCACTATCTTCAGCATACTGGATACTATGAGCATGTGTCAAGGGTAAAATCTACACAAATTAACATTTTTCTAGGATTTTTTAAGGTCTTAACAGACAACCTGTTATTAAAGAAATTTTACTTCTAATCTGTACCCACTAGAACAACTAGAAGTCTTCAAATAAAAATGCAGAATGAAAAGACAGTTATTTGTTTGGTTTGGTACTAGGGATTGAACTCACAAGCTTGCGCTTATGAAGCAGATGCGGTGTCACTGAGCTAAATCCCCAGCCCAAAACAGTTACTTCTCAATAGACAACAACTTATCTACTTTTCCTCGATATATATGAAAAATAACGTGTGTATGTGTATGTATATATATATATACACATATGAATATTTTAATATCGTAAAAAACCTCATAAATGTTTGTTATAGAACATTTCTGTAAAACTACTTAAGAAACTACTAACTAGGGGTGGTCAGAGATGTAGCTCAGGGGCAACGTGCCTGCCTGGCAAGATCAAGGTTCTAAGTTCGATCAGTGGTACCAGAAAAAAAAGAAACTACTATCTGTAGTTGTCCTAAGAAGGTAAATGAGGTATTTGAGAGTGGAGAGAAAATAGAACTTTTACTTCTGAATTACATTAAAATATGTCTGCAACTAAAACTTTTAAATTCTTTATGAGGTGGTTTACTATTTTTATAGACCTATCCAACTTCTTCATATTTCTTAACTTACTCTTTCTACATGAAATATCAGGGAAGCAAGTATCAAGAAAGCAAGTTTTTACTTCAAATTTAAATGGGAAAAGAAATCAAATTTTATACACTAAAATGTAGCATCAAAAAGCCTTAAGATAACGTGACTGTGGCATCCAAAAGGCAAATATAAAATATCACATGCTTATTACAGCTAAGCAACATCTGCATTGTTTCTTATCAAACATCATTAAAATATTTTCAAAGCTTGGAAAATGAAGAAAAATATTATTTGAAATTCAAATACAATGTATGTATTCAGTATTAAAAGCAATATAATTCTCTAAGATTTTTGAGTACTCTGAATACAACAGAATCCATGGTACTTTACCCTACTGCAGAGATATGGATATACATGTATATATGTATCTAAACAGGAATGAGAGAAATATACATATCAAACATATATAATCCATGTTCTTCATATACAGACACGTCTCTATATGTGCAGCATATGTATTATAAAAATATATACATAAGAATTATACACACACACACACATTCACATAAGAATAATTAATATTTATGGATAAATTCCAAATATCCATAATAACATGTCCCTCAATATTCAGGAGTCACCAGGTCACCACATTCACAATATAAATAAAAGCAGAGATAAGAAAGGCAATCTTCTACAATAATTGATAAAAATATACAATCACTTAAAAGAATTCCAACTGAAATCATCAGTTTTAAAAGTGTAGCTTGCCAAGCATGGTGGCACATGCTTGTACTCCCAGCACTTGGGATGAGTTTGAGGCCATCCTGGACTACACAGTTAGTTCAAGAACAGCCTGAACTATATAGTGAGATCCTGATTCAAACAACTGAAAAAAAAAATGCAACTTATCTAGCAAAGAAAAATAAAATGCCAAAAACTGGAAGATAAACATTTCAATAGACTTTACAAATTCATAAACTACCTGACTAAATGAGTTTTGTTTGCTATATAAACCAAAGGCATGCTTTTGTTTTGTGTTGGTTTAGTCTGCAAGTATTAGTCAAAAGACAATAATTCTCTGTTCAATTTCAAAGTAACTCAAAGTTGAAGGAAATCCATAAAACAACATTTTTATACAGAAACAATAAGAGAAATTAATCATCCCAATAGAATACAAAATTATTTCAAACTAAAAAATATTTCTAAAAGATCACTGGCTGGGTGAAGTCAGCAAGATGGGGGAATAGAAGTTAAGCTCCACTGGCCAACACAAAGTACAACTAGCAAGTGTCCACAGATTGGAACACCCTGCTAAAGATAATAACACTTGGAAACAAGCTTGACGTGCAGATATAAAAATACTCTTCTTCTAGCAATGTCACCCTTCTGACTTGCCAGATCTGCACAAAACCAGACAGAGATGATTTCCCTGGGCCCACAGCTACTATGGAGAAAATGCAAACCAGAGGCAGTCATCCATCTTCCTGAGCCCTCCAAGATAGTCCCCAGGGAGCACACTCAGTCTGACTTCACAAGGAAAGTACTAGGATAAATGGCACAGCCAGACTACCCAGGGCCAGGTAAAAACAAAGAAGTGAGGCAGAAGACACAGTGACAAGCCAGTAGGTATTGGTGGTACCTACCTGATCAGAGGTATTAGCCAAAATCACAGTTTACCCAACAATGCTGAGCATGTCACCTTCAAAAGCAGGTGTAAAGTACAACCCAGCTTGAGTCCCTGGACTATCATTCTCCCTTTCTATCCTCAGAGCCCACTCCAATGACTTCACCAAGGCAGGGAAAGCATGAGGATTACCAAGAATAAGAGAATCATGTCATTTTGAAAAGAAACTAATAAAATTCCAATAATGAGCCCCAAAGAAATGGAATCTATAAAATAACAAAGAATTCACAGTAACACTCATGAAGAAGTTTTGTGAACTATAAAAATATGGGGATAAAAAATTGAATGAAATTTAGAAGACAATCCATGAAAAAAGTAAAAAGTTTGACAAACAGAAACAATAAAAAACGAACCAAGCAGAAATTCTAGAGATGAAGAATATATTGACTAAAATAGAAAGCTCAATGAAAAGCTTCAACAGCAGGCTGTGTCAAGCAAAAAAGAAAAAAACAATCAGTGAAGTAGAAGACATTGGAAATTCACCAGTGAAAAGATGATAGCCTATGGGAATTATGGGATATCCCAAGCATTCTGCTTATGACTTATAGAAAAAGCAAAAAAGCCAGAAAGTACATTTAACAGTTTAAAATGTCCTAAATTCCTGAAGATGCCAATAATAGGAAGTGCAGAGGTCATCAATGAAATCCAAACCAAAGAGACTCACACTCTGACATACAATAACCAACTACTAAAAATCCAAGACAAAGAAAATCTTCTAAGAGAAACAAAATGTAAGAGATACATTACTCACAAAGGAGTTGATATAACAGCATTTTTTTTTTCTTTTTTTGCTACTGGTAGTTGAACCCAGGGCCTCTGCACCAAGTTATATCTCTCAGCCTGTTTTTAATGTATATACAGTCTCACAAGTTGTTAAATTGCCCATGCCTGTCTTGAACTTGTAGTCCTCCTGCATCAGTCTTCCAGAATGCTGAAATGACAAGTATGTGATACTCTGCATGGCTGACTATCAGCAGATTTTTTTCAGCAGAAACCATGCAGCCCAGGAGAGACTTAGACTTACTGACTAGACTTGCCACATAGGAATTGTTAAAGGGAGTGAGTTGCTACAGGGAGTGAACTGCTAAACTAAAACGTTGTTTAATAGTTTAAACTTAATAGTGTACCCCAAGAGCATCACTGTGACAGTGTGTTTACTATACTACCACAAGCATCACTTAGGTAGGTGTCCTTTTAACCAGTCAATTCTTATTTGCATGAGATACACTCATATATTTTTGTTTATATTGACTATTTTTGCATACTTTTTAATTTAGAATGCTATATTCACCTTAGATGTTTGTTTCTAGTGAAATTTAATAATAAGTTCGGGTTATTTTCTTTAATTTGTCTGTATTTGTGAAAAATATCCTATGATCTTGTGTTAAAATCTATAAAAACTCTTATTGTAAGTACATTAGATATAATTTTTATACTTCCCCAGAATTCTAATACTATTACAATACAAAACAGACATGTTTAGGACCCTGAGACTAAATAGGAAGGAAGTGCCTAAAGATCTGCAAAAGAAAAAACTAAAAAGGGAGAAATGTCAGCATATCAGAGAGGAAAAGTCTACGATATGAAATAGAAAGACAAAAAAGATATCTTCTTATTGTCAACTACTCACAGAAGTGATAAAGCTTGGTAGAAGAAATGAAACTAAACAAATTCTAAGAGTGGTCAATGATTATAATAATTCCATGGATGATGTGAGTTGACTAACATTAACAAGCTATCTTATAATCAAAAAGAAAGGAAAAATATTACAAAATACGTAAGTACCTTCTTGATCAAACGATATGGAACTCATTTGTTATTTGTTAAAAAACAGGGGGTTCAAAAATAATTTACAATTTAGATTAGGTCTAACATCAAATAATTGAAAAATATGAGATAGCAAAAGACCAACCAGGATGTCTATCATTGACATCTTCATTACATTTACAGGGCAGACATTTTATTGAAAATTATAATCCCACAGAAATAAAGGAAAGGCCAACATGACAGTGTGAAGTGTGTTGTTCAAAGAAAGACAACAATGCAAAAAGAATTTGCAAAGAGACTGTCCAGACTGTAATGGTGCATTGTGTACTGAATGCTTTAAGATACACCATAGAGAGAAAAATTACTGAATAAATTTGATAAAATTGTCATTTTATAGTTCCTGTTATAATATATTATAAAAATTAACAAAAATTTACAATTTTTATATACATAACTAGACTGGTAAGGGGTTAGTTAATAACATGAAACATACAAAAGTCAAAAGTCAGTGGTACACATAAAATAGCCATATTTA